TTTTGAAAATTGGTATCAATCTATTGGAATAATTTGTCTATTTTCTGCACATATTGATGAAACATCTCCCCTAAACTTAGTTTGTTTTCCTGCTGGGTATTATTTGGACCATTCCCTTGTTGATTATCTGATCATCTGAAATTCGAGTGATATCTCCATCCTAGGTTATATGTTTACGAATATGGGTTAAAGGAGTCATTCTGAATGAAATTGACTTGTTCCTTTGGAAAGCCCATAGACATGCAGTTTTCTGTCAAATGGTTAGCTCCACGGTTTTCTCATGATAGACCACCCATCACTGCATGTGCTCCTCTCATTTGTGAATTTACTAATAATTCTACCTGATTTATCAAAGCTGCTATCTGCGCATTTGTAGATGTTGTGCTATCTAATTCATACATCACGGATGCTCTCGGTGATACCATTCTTTCCGATGAAAATATTGAATGTGTAGTTGTAATTAACTCAAATAAATACATGGTTTGTTGTACTGATTTTCCTATGATCGATCCACCAATAGAGGAATCTACTTGAGATTTTGACATTGGTGAGAGTCTGGTGTAGAAGTACTGCACTTGATTACCTATTGTGATTTTAGCTACTTTCGCCGGTGGGAAGAATTTGTTGTAGAATTTTCTAATCAGTTCTTCCCATGCAGTAATGCTTACATTAGGTTTGACGTTTAGCCACTCCAATGGAACAGCTCTTAGTGTATATGGAAATAATTGCAGTTTAATAGCGTCTTCATTAACCTCCGGAGCATGAAAGTTCTGACAATTTCTAAGAAATCTGGAGATATGTGTGTTCGAATTTTCATGAGGTAACCCGTAGAATTGGAAAGTATTGCTCATCAAATTGATTCACTCTGCTCTTACCTGAAAATTATTTACCTCGAAATCTGGATGCACAATAATGGAGCGCGCATGTGCAACTATGGGCATCAATAACATTGAAACTGACAAGCCTCCTTTATTTATTTCCCATCGCTCCTACTATTGATTCGGTATCGTCGCTACTCTTGCGGCCGCTTGTCCAACTGGCTGAATAGAAATATGAATATTGTGATCGTCAGCCATTTGATGTTGCTATTTTTGTTTGTATTCCTTGCGTTTTCGTCTGAAAGTATGTCATATTTCCGTGTCAACCACAACGAACACCTTTTTTTGTAATAAAAGAAAATAAAAATCAAATCAAATAACAGTTAAAAATAAAATAAATTAAGACTAAAAGTGAATAGTCTCCTAAAAGTGAATAATTTTCGACAATGGCGCCAAAAAACTTGTTGCGTTTTTTATATTGCAAGTGTACGATATCGTAACAAGCAATATAGTGAACTTTTGAGTCCATATATCGTTCTCAGGAAGACTATATTTCAGGACTTAATCAATTTTTTTTCTAACTCATATTTGACAAAAGCAAGTAAATAATTATAATGGTTGTGATTATTTTTTCTAACTACTTTTAACTAATTGAAAATATAAAAAGATTGTAAACAACGGATAATTGAAGATTCAAATATCCAATGAATATTAGAGCATAACAATTTCATCTATTGATTATCTTAATTTTTAATTCAAGATTCATAACCTAATGTAGCGTTCGATCGAATTCTTCTATTGTATTCAATTTACCCATCTCGAGTTCTCATTGAACTTATTTAATTATTTCAATCTCATATCTCTATGCAAATCTACCTTAGCTAAACAAAATACTAGTTCTAAGAATTCATGTATGATCGCAATATTTAGTATATATATCTCTACATGTTATACTAATTTACTGAATTTTACTATATAATCTAAACCTCAAACTCACATCTCGATTCGTAAGAGACTCACATAATCATCAAATTATTGATCAGGTAATTTAATACATTAAACTCATAATAAAATCAACACGTAAATAAATAAATCACATAAATCTTAAATAGAAAAATAAAGGATCACAAGTCGACTACACTATTTTCTTTAATATAAAAATTAGTCGTTCATACTATAAAAATAAAAACACTCAAAAGTGGAACGATATCATCAAAAATTGATGAAACGTGAAACTGCTCGTGTATGCCGTCTGCAACTATTTTCTTTTTCTCTCTCCTCTTTCTTCTGGGCTTTTTTTTTTCTATTTTTTAGAGCCGCCTGTTTTTCTTCTGTCCCCCTTTTTTTCTTTTTCTTTTCCATGCGTGAATATGTATATATATTATAATTCATAGCTCTTTTTATTCTTTTCAACCAAGGAGTCGAAATCCATTGACATTCCAAATTGAGGTCAAATTAATTTCAAAGCCCATTAAATTATGCTTGCTTTCAAATCTTCAATTCTTTCATGTAATGCAAGTTAGTAATTGAAAAAAAAAAATTATTTGCGCAGTCCCTACCAATTTAGTCCCCGTACTTTGAATTTTGTCATTTTTTACTATTTTGCATTCTTTTCTCCAATTATTCATCAAATATAAAGTTTTTTTCCTACAAAATGCAATATAAAATAAATTAAGTAGAATTTATGGTTTCGAATAACACTCACCAAGAAATCATTTATTGAATTAGAATTTGAAGAGTGAAGAGAAGACGAAAATAGACTGACACAGAACTCTCTATAAGATGACTAAACACGAAGAAATAAAATGAAAGAATATCCTCGGGTTACAGCCAAACACCCTATTCATACACTCAGTGACCACCGTTGATCTTAGATTGAGATCAAAATCTGGGATCAACGATTGTGAGCTATTGACAACTTAGCAAGTTAAATGGCAACTAAAGTCGTGCAACTTAAACACGCTTTTCATTTGTTTGAAATTAGGTCTGGGTTATTGGGTCTTACATTTGAAGTTATTGGACAATAGATTTCCAGTTGGGCCAAACCCATTTCATCGGTCTTCAGATGAGCTTGGACTTGGCATCACAATCCAACAACTCTAAATAGTTTTTAATCCTATATATAAGACCCTAAATGATCACTTGCTTTGTACACTAATCATGGAAAAGCGACATAAAACCACATGCACTGCACA